AGAACAAGTGGCGATGAGAGCATTGATAATTGCATTAAGGAATTTCAATTTAAAGCTACTGCATTTGAAAAAGTAATTGAATGGATTCCATCTGACCAACTAAAAGAAATAAAAATCATTGGCAAAGGAGGGTTTGGCACAGTATATTCATCAATTTGGTTAGATGGTAAACGAATGGTTGAAGGTGATAATAATGTGGGTTATGTACGATTTCGTAAAAAATCCTGCAAAGTCGCTCTTAAAACGTTGCCTGGTTCTCAAACAAGTTCTTCCAATTTTTTAAATGAAGTAAGCTAAAATTGTTTGTTTAACATTAGTTATAAATTTAATATAATCTAAAATTTCATTCGAATCTTTTCTCAAGTTTAAAAATCACATGCAATGTAGATTAGAGGGTAGTGAACTTGAAGTATACGGGTTGACTCAGAATACAGAAACAGATCAATATATGATGGTATATCAATATGCCAATAGAGGAAATCTTCATGATTTTTTAAATAATTATTTTAGAGAACTTGTGTGGCAAGAAAAGCTAAAGCAACTTGCGGATATATCTTATAATTTATCTCGAATTCATAGAACTGGACTTATTCATAGTGATTTTCACAGCGGTAATATTCTACTAAACCAAAATATTGATGGAACTATAATTTCATACATTACAGATTTAGGATTGTCTAGAAAACAAGATGAATATGATTCAAACGAAGGTATTTATGGAGTCATGCCATATGTTGCACCAGACATTCTCAAGGGTCAAAAACACACACAAGAGGCGGATATATACGGTCTAGGTGTTATTATGGCAGAAATGTCAACTGGAAAAAGACCTTATGATGGGTCTGAACTTAATAAAGAACTTGCAATAGCTATTTGCAATGGATTAAGTCCAGAATTTGCTAATGGAACTCCTGATTGCTACGTTAAATTAGCCAATCAATGCTTGGATTCAAATCCACAAAACCGGCCTACTGCTGAATATGTTTATTCCAAAATTAACCAATGGAAAATAATCATGGAGTCTGAAAATTTAATTGGTGAAGAGGATATTGACATTAGAAAGAGATTCATCAAGGCTGATAGTATAATCAAAAAAACGTCGCTAAAATCCTTATCAACGTTTCAAAATAAATATTATAGTACCTTAATTGATGTAAAAGAAATAACAAAGAGTCTTAAAGGTACTGACAGGGCTAAATTATTTACATTCCTCGTACTTTGTAATTAGTACTTTGTGGTTAAGCATTAATTATTTATTTTATTATATGCAGTGCCTACTCAAATTAATTATTCTAATTTGGATCAGTTGGGAAGTTCACTTCTTGAACTCCCACCTAATATTTCCAATTTAAGTTAGTATGATTTAAAATATTGATTGTTTCAAAAATCTTTTTACTAATATTTTTTTTTAAAAGTTGAAGATAGTGAAGCTAGTGCATCTCAAAAGGATTAATGCTCTAGGAATGTTCCGCGTTGATTCCAGATTTATTTCACTTTAAATTAAAATTGGACGTCTAATTTTTCTTATACTATCTAAAATTTAAATAAGTTTGCTTCAAATTATTGATAAAAACCTAAAGTGCTTCAGCTTATTCTAAATTGTTACGATAAATATAAAAAATATAAAATTATTATTAACAATTTAAACTATAAATAAATATGCTAGATGGATTAAATTACAGTATCTAGTAAACTATACAATTAAAAAACATAAAAATAATAAAAAGCATTTATTGTAATATTACTAAAACATTGTTTTCAATGCAGTCTGATGTTTTTTTTAGAACTTTTGTAGCATTGCCTTTTTATAAAAATTCTAACATATAAGTTATTCGTATGATTTTTTAGTGAATTATAGGAGTAGAAACAATCGCTTTTCTGTAAAGTCATTCGAACAACTATGATATTTTAAAGCGTATCATATTGTAATTTTTATCATGGCAGTCTGATTAGATTTAAACTAAAATATGACCATGCAGGCGGCTTCGTCGCCTGTTTATTTAAATTATCACGAATAAAATTGTAAAAAATTGTATGTACAAATTACCGAGTTTAAATCTATACTACGTACATAATTCAGAGTGATGCAATTTAACTACTTTGGATACCAGCAAAGTAACGTTATACTGTATTCTGATAGGATAAAACCTGTTATAAATTCTGGTTAAACCTGATTTGCAGATCATATTAAGTAATGTCACAGGCAAAACCAGAAACAACCCATGACCATAAAACCCGCGAAACAATGCCTGAACGTAATACAATTGTTACGCCAGAAGACCTTCGTACAACGATGCCCCAGGTTTACGAATTCGAACGACAATCCCCTGCAGTTGTATGCGCAAAACCCACCGAACGATTACACCCTTCCCGATTTGGCTTGACATCTCTTAAGGTAATATTACCTTGTAAAGTGTGTGGCCGTGGTAATGTAGCGTAATTGTGCAAATGGGTGGGAAATTCTAAAGTAACGAATTGACGTGGAGAATTCTTCGATTTTCTTCTTTTTTCTTCCACCTGTAAAATGTATAAAAGCCCTTTAGTTCTAGCAAAAAAAAAAAAAAGAATGTGGTTAGTCAAAAAAATAATCAATAAAAGAGACCCCAATTCGACCCTAATAAAGACCACCTTGACCCTTCGTAACGCGTAATCTTCCAGTGTAACATATTTGACTAAAGCCTTAGACCGTCAAATCGTATCCGCCTCTATTCGTCGAATATAGTTACACGGCACTCTTCTTTTGTTAGTTGAGTGGTGGTGATTTTGCCTGTAACAGGACATAGGATTATTAATTGATTGGGTTGGGGTGGGTTGAGCTATTCTTCAACCCACTCCAGCTTGGGTTGGACCCACTCTGGGGCCACTCCAGATTTGCTTAGTGCATATTAAATTTTTTAATTTTTATTATATATTATATATACTAATATTAATTTTAATATTCTTTATTAGTATATTTATTTTAGGGGAATTTACACGTAAAGGTCCAACAATGAAAATTCTTACATATAGCAGCCAAAGTCAAAATTTATTACAAATAAGGGCCTGTCCGATCTCCGAGCTATACTAGGCGACTAAGCCCAAGACTTCGCCTAGAAAAAATGGTGACTGGATTTTTTTCTGGCTTACATGACTTCGAAAACTGATTCCGGTAAAGTTATGTTTATCACGCTTAATGATGATAAACATTAGAACTTTCCTGTAATAATTCATGTACCCATTTAAACAATGTAACGCATAATTATTCAATAAAGGCCGAGGCCAGGCCTCACTCTAAAAAAAAAAAAAAATAAAAAAAAAACATTAGAACTTTGATTTTTATTTTGACCTTTATTTTGACTTTCACTTGGTCTTCACTTTTACTTCGTTTTGATTTTTAATTTAATTTTCGTTTGACTTTCACTTTGACTTTCGCTTTGACTTTCACTTTGACTCTCGCCTAGATTTCGCTTTAATTTTGTTTTGACTTTACCTTTCACTTTGATTCTCCTTTGCTTTGTCTTTCACTTTAACTTTTATTTTAGCTTTCACTATGACTTTCGTTTTGACCTTCGTTTTGACTTTGACCTTCTCTTTGACTTTCGTTTTTTGACTTTTACTTTTATTTCAAGAATTTTTGCTGGATTGAATTCACAAAAATATAATTCTGATCAATCGTTTAAATAAGCTATTTAAATTCATGAATATTTTATAATTGGCTTCTTGTTTATTATTGTTAATTTGCTAGTAGATACAAAGGATTTTAATATTCAAAATAACCACACCACATTATATCTTTTTATTTGTATTATTTAGTCATGTATAAAGATCTTTTTAATCAATGCGTTAAGACATAAGTTTGTTAGCGAGATTCATAAATAGTATCTTTAGTTTTTTCGTGTAAAAAAATTAATTGCATCTTAAAGCTATTTTAGTGATATTGTATAATTATTTTAATCTGGCTATGTAAGTCTTGTAGCTTAGTCGTTTAGTATAGCTCGGAGATCGAACAGGCCCTTATTTGTAATAATTTTTGATTTTGGGCCGCTATATTTAAGAATTTTTATTTTGGACCTCATTCATAATTATTTTCATTTTTGGGCCTTGAAAAGTATTGCACGCTGTGAGAGGGAAATTTCATCAGGTCGAAAATCGAGGTGGTTCGGTCGATCTAGCCAAAATCGGTTGGAATCTGTCAAAACTGCTATAACTACTATATCTGCCAGAAATAGCAGATATAGCATATCTGTCAGATATAGTATATCTGCCAGATATAGCAGATCTACCAGAAAATAGCCGATATAGCAGAAATAGCAGTTATGGTCGTAACGGCAGAAAAGTTCGTAGTTAATTAATACTGTGTGAAAATGTATTTAAGCACAATTATATCGCTGTAAATAAAAGGGATAACTCTGGGGAGTTCAAAGTTCCAAGTTAAAGAAATCGGAGTATTTAACTTGTGATTAGTTCCCAAAGTTCGAA